GGGGGGGGGGGAGAGAGAGAGAGAGAGAGAGACATAGAGCGAGGTTATGCTAGATAAATGTTTTATTAGTGCAATCGCGTTATTTTGTTACAGATACCGCGTGCCGAGTGAACCGTTGCACGATAGCCCAGTGAAAGCACGCGTTTATATTTGCTTATATCGCCATCGAGGCTCCATTTGCCGGACACAGTGCGGCGATAATGTGCAAATAGTATAAATAATCGTTGTACACGTCGCCGGGTTATTAATATCCTATTATTTTGGATTATGCGGCGACGCTTCGTTTCGCTTTCCGTTTTCAGAATCGGTCCGCCCATTGTCCGTAAAAGTGGGTTACGCGCCGCGTGTCGTTCTGAAACGTCGCGCGCACGTATGCCCGCGCGTTGTATGCGCGGCCACCTCTTTTCCTGCCAGAGAAAAGGCATTATATGTTTTATTATGTCCACCGCGCTTCGTCGACTTTCACACGCGGTCGTAATGGACGACATTTACGAGCGTTGCCGCGCCGAATCGCCTCCGGTTTGCGCGACGTTCGTTTGGCAGGTCCCGCGTGGATTCCGCGTGGAAAATCGCGCGTTCGGCTTAAACGACCACCGGCCGCGATCGACGGTAGCATTTGTTGTTTTACTTGCTCGCTCGTGCAATTGATACTCGCTCGTTACTCTAATAAAGCTGATACGACTGTTGCTCTTGTAATCGACGCTCAAACCGGTTATTCACGAGCTACGCGCTGAGAAGCGCGCTGACGATACTTTCCAGTTATATCGATCCATTTCACTGGCGTCTAGCTAGAAAATCGCCGATCGCACAACTCTCCACGTGAACTCTTCCTGTCTCCCCCCTCCCCCGCGCGCTTGGCTAACAGCCGGCGGACTTTTATTTTCTTAATTAAACGTTCACCGACTGATGGTTTCCGTCATCGTGCGGCGAGACGGTTTCTAAACGGCGCTTTCCGTCATCGACGGAAACGTCGTTAAGCGAGATCGCGCGCTATCTTCGCGCGCATCATTGTGTCGTGATGAAAAATATCACGGCTAGTGAAAATCCTGCCTTGGATGCGATCGGGGGAACATGAAACCCATGACGTCGAAATTGCTAATTGTTAGCGGGGAATATTAATCGCGATCTTTCCAACGACGCAGGCGCTAACGGCGCGTGAAACGTTCATACTTTTTAGAAAGTTTATCGTAACGTCTGAAAAAGGCTGTTAGAAGAGAGGAAATATGTTGAAAAGGAACAATCTTTCAACAAATTTCATCGCGCTTTTATGATCTAATAATCTTTTCAGTGGTGATACAAAATAGCTGTTCCCTTTTACATATAAGTGGTCTTCTTTTCTCTCTTAATATTATTTGCTTCGAAGAATTTGAGAAAAGGGATATAAAATATATATTTAGTTTTTTATTTGCTTCGAATGTTAAATAAGCACGAAGTAGTTTGAGCAAATGGAAAGTAATTTCACAGTTTACTAAGAGACTTTTTCGAACATACCACTTGAGGAATTAATTCCAATGATATTGCAATTTCCACCACGAGAGACGATAAATTCGATAAATTGCCTTGCTAGCGTTTCGTAATTGGGTAAAGTCGTGAGGTAAAATTCACAGATCGACTCACTCACCTCCTACGACGATGAAGTCGTAGTAATATTCGGCTGGATTCGTCGGCTTCACGCGTTCGCACAGCTGAGACACCTTGTCTTGGCTGCGTACGAACGTGTCCAGGATTGTCATGAACGTCAAAAACTGCGATCCCGGACAGACCTGAGCGAGGCTCGGGCCGAGGTAGGTAGGCTCCTGGCATACAGGGTTGACCGTCAGATTATACGACATTCTGCGAACAGTGAATATCACAGCGTGACAGCGTCGCCGCAGCGTTTGCGATTTATTAGCGCGCGCGCGCGCGCGATTTATCAGTCTCTCGGGGTAACGTCCACGTTTCCATGTAGCGCGCGTTATCAGGAAGCCTCGTCGAAAGATACGCCACTACGATTACTTTTATCGCCGTCCTAATCGTCCTTTTGTGCGACTGAACAGCGTCGCGATTGCCGTCCCCCAGACGCTCCGTTTAACCGTGGCATCTCTGTGTGCGTCGGCGATGAATAAAAAAAAGAAAAAAAAAAACAGATAAAATAAAACCCTTCCAAAAAAAAAAAAAAAAAAAAAAA